ATATATATATATATATATATATATATATATATATATATATATATATATATATATATATATATGTTGTATACTTATACAACAAAAACGCGAAACATCTCTATAAAAAACATTTTGTTTTTTTCTTTTCTTTTCTTTAGAACAACCACAAATAAAAATATAAAATTAAATAAAATATATTTAAATAAAATATAATTAAATAAAATATAATTAAATTAAAATATAATTAAATAAAATATAATTAGCTAGAGAGCAAATGGTTATATACAAACACAGATACAACCCTAGCAGCAGCAGCAGCAGCAGCAGCAGCAGCAGCAGCAGCAGCTTCTCTGTATTTGCTACTGCACTTTATATATTATTAAATTTTTTTTTAATAATAAATAAAAAAAACAAAAAAAATAAAAAAAATAAAAAAACAAAAAAAGCTGAGATAATAATTTATCATACGAAGGATTGAAGGCAGCAGAAATATACTAGAGAGCAGCAACACTAACAAATAAAAAAAAAAAAATATAAATATATAAATATACAACAAATATTAATTAAAATAAATTATTTATATTTTATTCTTTTTTACTCTCTGTGGGCGCCGAACGCGGGAGCGTCCGCGCTGCTGCTGCTGCTGCTGCTGCTGCTGTTGCTGCTGCTGCTGGAGTTTGTCTGGGGCTGCTGCAGCAGCAGCAGCAGCAGCAGTTGCGTCCGTCTCTTCTCAGCTTCTGTAGAGAAGAATAAATATTTAATTTAATTAATTTTAATTTCAACAGAAATATAAAAAACAAAAGAAGAAGGAAAAAAAAACACATACATATCTGCTGCTGCTGCTGCTGCTGCTGCTGCTTACGCCCCGGTCCCTCTTTGAGTCTTCTAGGCAGCAACTCAGCCTTTCTCTTCTTTTGCATGCACTAACAAATATATTAATTTAATAAAAAAGCTAAAATTAAACCCTTTTAAACCCTGTAGCAGCTGCAACAACTGCAGCAGCAGCAGCAGCAGTTGCAGCAGCAGCAGCAGCAGCTGGCACAGACTGGTCTATGGGGCCCCTCACAGGGGCCCCCAGCCTGTGTTAGGGTGTATGATCAGCTGGTGTGTATACACCAGAGCACGGCATACCTGCGTATACACCTGGTGACTATGGATCCGCAGCAGCAGCAGCAGCAGCAACAGCAACAGCAGCAGCAGCAGCAGCAGCAGCAGCAGCAGGAGCTGTAAACACCCATGGAGACAGCTCTCAGAGCTCTCGCTCTCGAGGAGCTGGCGCTGCACCCCTTCCCGGGTCTCTCTTTTGAGCGGCTGTGTCTGCTGCTGCAGCAGCAACATGAATGCGCCCTAGACCCCCATACCCAGGTACCTTTCTCTCTCTTCTTCTCTTCTCTTCTCTTCTCCACTCCTTTCTCCTCTTCATCTTAAACTATACAGCACCCTTCACACAGCAAGGGGCCCCCAGGGGGCCCCCAAAGGGCCACACCAGGGGCCCCCAGTGGGGCCCCACTGGGGGCCCCCAGGGGGCCCCTACTGGGGCCACCAATGGGCATCCACTGGGGCCCCCAAGGGGCCCCCAGTGGGGCCCCCAAAGAGCCACACTAGGGGCCCGCGGGGGGCCCCCGGGGGGCCCCCCGGGGCTTCTGAGGAGCATTGGGGGCCCCTGAAAAGGGGAGAAGAGAGGGTTTAGATAGGGGTTTTTTCTTTGTTGATTTTATTCTTTTTGTGGTTTGTTTGCTTGTTTTATTTACTTATTTATTTATTTATTTATATATTTATTTATTTATTTATATATTTATTTATTTATTTTTGTTTTTGTGTTTTCTTTCGTCAGGCTCTCCTGTGGCGGTCTCTATACAGCTGCCCCGATGTCTGCTTCACTGCGCTCAGCTGCAGCAGCAGCCAGCAGCAGCAGCACCCCGAACCAGCAGCAGCAGCAGCAGCAACAGCAGCAGCAGCAGCAGCAGCAGCAGCAGGGCCACGCAGCAAAAAACAGCAACAGCTACCGTGGAGAGACCCCGCAGTTCCCCCGTATCTACCGGTCTCTGCTGCTGCTGCTGCTGCTGCTGCTGCTGCTGCTGGCGAGCGTATAGACGATGGTGCAGCAGTGGACACAGCAGCAGCAGCAGGAGCAACAGCA